TTGTTCGGGTCACTATATAGAAATTTGATTGTGGTGGCTAGTATCTGAAGTACACTTGCAAAAATTCAACAGGAATGTAAACACTTTTAAGACAGAACGATGAGTTTTCAGCAATTCAGAGTTATGTTTGGTACTTTGACGTAGAGAAATATTAGTCTATTACTTGCTAAGAAAATAAGAAGAATACTCAGAAATATTCAGAAATATTTTCAAATGAAATTTAAGTATCGACTTTTAAAGGTAGATAAAAAAATTTCAGATTGGAATAATTCGTCTTTATTTCACTAGAACATAAGAGAAAACGAGTAATTACTTATTGCCAAATTACGACAATGTCTGGCTGCACTTTTTAATTGTAGTTTAATTTTAAAATTTTAAAATAAGTTTTTCGTTGGGTTTTGATATTCCTGCATTTAACTCTGTTCTCGAGATTAACGAAGGATGGATGGATAAGCTGACGACAGTGCGAATGTATTAGTCTGCAAATTGAAAATTGAAGCCTATTAGTAATTTCAACAAAAAGATGTTTACTTAAAATAATAATTCTTTGTTTTTCAGAGAAACTGTTAAAAACGTTTGAAGTTTCTAAAGTAAATGTACAGAATGTGCTTTTCCAATAAGAATGAAAAACTTCTTGTAAGCAACAGAAGGATAATTGATTGTTGGTAACAAAGAGTCAATTGCTAATACTTGCTTCCATTTTGGCAGTGATTAGTAATGACCCTTATTGAAAATATTTCCGATTAGTTGGCAATACTCTCTCTTCTCTCGAACTAGAAAGATAAAAACTGTGAGCCTAAATTCTTGAAAGCCAGAAGGGCGCAGGAGGAAACAAGTAAAAGAAAGCCACAAGTGTAGAGGAGAAAAGGTATGAGAAGAAAAAGAAAAGACAACATTTAGATTACCAAAGTTTGCCATCGCAGATAAGAAATTATTGTTAAAGTCTTTAATGAAGTTATTACCAAAGAGGTAATGAAGAATTTTTATGAAAAAGTTTGAAAGTTAAATCGTATGTAAGAAATTATCTATCAATACTTACCTATTGTGTACAGCAGACAAACTGGGAAATTCTCATAATGTAAACATTTTTCATGCAGTATATATACAAAAAACGCAGAAAAACACATAAATCCGATTGGGTAGTACTTTCTTTTTATGTATAAATTGACGAATAGAAAAGTTCGAACATAAAATACTTTTATTGTCCATTTATTACTTTAATAGCGATAACTTTTATTACGTAGAATAAAAAATATTGGAATTTAATTACAGTAGAGCGTCGGTTATCCGAAAGAATTCCAGTCGGCAATTTTAAATTTTCTTAAATTTTCGCTAGTGCTGTGGCGCTGCAATCTTTGGCTATATCTTGGGCTACTCCAATATTTTTTTTGTTGGTGTGTGTGCTTTAGCAGGTAGCACTTTTGTGTAGTGTTTTTCTGAGGACTGTGTGTCGCGCTGAATCGAACGTTTTTGATACTAGATCAACTTCTAAAGTATATTTTTTTGGTTTTTATATTTTTCAATATATTTATTTTCTTTGTACAAAATAAAGAAATATTTTTTAACGATACAATAGCCACGATTATTATTATAAAAAGTTCACGTTAGGCTTAACATCGACGAAAATTCAACGCGAAGCGACATGCAACGGAGAAAAATTTCAACATGGGATAGGTTAATATATTTTTCGTACATAATCGGTTATCCGAAAAATAAGTTATCCGAACAACTCCAGTCCCCAATTGATTTGGATAAACGACGTTCTGCTGTATATATACATTGAAAAATAACTGAACTAATGATTCTACCGATAATAAAAAGTAAGCAGTATTTTGATTACTCTTTTGTCATAATCATTAAATATTTTTATACGTATCCATTTATATCATTACTATACATTTTAAATTATTATAGTTTTAATAATACCCAATTTTATCTAAAATCGACCATTTGAAATATTTCACGAGAGAAGAACTGTGCATTTCAAAACTAAGGAGGACACTTCAATTATTCTCATACACGTGACAGTATGAACAACATAGTACAAGCTACGAATTTGTGGAACGATTTTTTTTATTTCTGAAATTAATATTTTCTTTTGAGAAACCTTATCGTTGAACGTGCCTGTATATTTTTGCTACGGGTAATGCTTAATGGGAGAAGTAAAGCACAGCGCAGCAATACCGTATTTCTTTTTTTTAGTGGTGATATGTGACAGTGCCTAGTGTAAAGAGACAATGTTATCCTATATCGAGAGAAGTGTATTAGAGTAAATAATGGCGTAAGCAATATTAAAAATACTATGAACACAGAGTAAAAGAATTACATTGGAAGAATTGTATAAGATTGTAATTGTAATTAAATGTAGAGTATGAAGCGATATATTAGTTTTTGCGTCAAGTGATTGACCGTATTATGATCACAGGAATGAGAATTCCCACTTGTTTTTGGGTAGTGTGGTGCAAAATCGTAGGTTTTTCTATAAACAGGTTCAAACTATAAACAATCGAAAATATGGAAAAAATGTCGCCAAAACAGCTGTATTTTGTTTATTTTTCTTCTTTTCTTCATCCGGCATTGCAGACACTTCTAGAGAAACTACTTGGCCTAAAAAGCTCAAATTTTAAACTTAAGCTTCTCTCGTCATTAATTAATGAAGAGCTGGCGAAATTTTCAAATCGATAGGTCAAACTTTACAAGAGTATATTCCCATACAGCTGTTGTACTTTTATCGCTTAACTTTTAGGATAAAATTTCATTTTATTCTTACAAGCGATGCCTACAAAAATTTATTTATTTTAATGTTTTTTTACATTTCGCTTCGAAGCGACAAGCTTATCTTTACCAAAGAAAAACTTCCAAGATTAGAAAAACTTTAAGATTCTCCAAAATTATCATGATTTTTTATTTGGGCAATTTTTTTATATTCCACTTGTTTTTGTATGATTAATAATAAAGCAATTCTCTAGGTCGATCGTGATAAAGTGAAAACAGGAAAAAATTCATGCGAAATTGTCATCAATACGATTGAAAAAGTTAAAATATTTCTTTTGTATGATATATCCCGAAAAGAAAGTATACAAGAAATATTTATTATACAGTAGAACCTCGATTTTCCGGACTAATTGGGGATGAAGGTAGTCCGGATAAGGGAAAAATTCGGATAATCATAACAAATACTTTAATTTGTCTTTTAATGATAATACAACACGTTTTCTTTTCGATGGCATATCGGTAATATTAAAAGTAAATACTGTATTTAAATCGTGATCAAATTTTCAAAAAACAAATGTTTTATTGAATTTGGACTACTACTGACCAGCGCTAACAGACTACTATTGTTTAAAAGGCCCTCTGACGGCTCAAGAATACGGATTTTATGAAATAAAAAGCAGCTGAAACTGCATCTTTATGAATAAAAATTTGAGAAACTATTTATCGTTTTATGACGAGTAAAATTTTTTCGTCGCGTTCGCGGCTTTTAAGTAATGCATAAACCTTCGAGGCGCGAGGTCCTTCGGACCGCGAGGCGTAGGTGGTGGCCCACGTTGCCCATGCCTTACGCCGCCCTTGGTTATAGAAATGATGCAATTTGAGTATAAATTATTTATAAATATGTGACCGTAGAGTCGGTGTCTCTTTGACACCACGTCAGGAGACCTAAATCTGACACTACCGAGTCTCGCAGGACTCGGAAATCGCGACGTTACGTCACGCGAGCGGTAGCGGGTGAGCGATTGGATTCGGAGTAGAGGTGAGGAGAGAGACGAGGAAGTGACTCACTCGAATTCCATATTTTCTAACAAATAACAATTTTAATTAATAAGAACTAAAGACAATACAGAGATATCGGGCATATTATCGGGCTTAATTATACTAGGCCGTTGAGAGAGAGAGTTTACAACCGAATCGCGGGTTGATAAATATCTTTCTTCTGGGTCGCAGATCTGTAGTATGATGACACTGTTGACTCTGATGGAATGTTCTCTCAAATTCTTGTCCGTTAACAGGAGCTCGGAGGAGTGGAAGCACGGAAGTGGGGTGAGATTCTTAAAGAGGCACGGTGTTACTTCTGTCACGATGTTACTTCTGGATTCTGGTGCACGGGTTTTACGTCTGGATTCGGGTTTACAAGTTTAATCCTTGAGGACGACTTTTGTGGAGGAACTTTGGACGACGACTGACCTCGGGTGTTTTTTCCCTTCTCCCTCGTTATTCCTCTTGGGTTTTTTTCCATGAGGTCAGGTGGGTGTTGTTAATGGTCTGGCGTCCAATATGAGCGCTCAATCGAAAGTTCCGGGTGACACATCGCTGACTAGCTGAATCCTCCTCAACAAGGAACTAACTTTGTGGGAAATAAATTTTTATGGCTTTTAGCCTAACGCTCGATTTTATATGATGAAATGTATTTATAATTAAAATTTAAAATAACACTTTATCAAGGGTCTGTTCGTCCCTCACAAATACGTATGTAAAGTTATATTTTTATTACGACGTAAAATATATTTAAAAGTTTACGAGCACTGGGTGACAGGTCGTTGTACTGACAAAATGTACATTTTTTGATAGTTTTATTGATCATTATAAATACCTGTAATCACTTCTAAATCTGTATGGTAATATTTTCTTTGTAGTTATTGAATTTGTTTTATTTTGTTTTAAAATTTACTTCAATACTTATGCCAGCCCTTTTTAACTGTTTGTTACAAAGGGCTGGCGGAAATTACACTTTAATAAATAAAAAGTACATTACAGATACTAGACATATCTTCATTGCCTATCCAATCACCAGGACAAGGCAAGCAATAAAGATATGTCTAGTATCTGTAATGTAATTTTTACTTTATTAAAATTACTTAAATCATGCTTATTCATTAGGTGAACCACTCACAAAGTTTACGCCTTCCCCCACTAAAAATTATTTGCTGCAAAATAAAATTTTTAGAATAATTAAAACACAAATGAAATATGCTTATTTTTATTTTTGCTTCTTTGTAATTTTAATTGAAGTCGTAGTTTACCCTCAACGTAAAATTACTGCCGTGATAATGAAAAAGTGAGTATGATTTTGTTACGTAACCCACACCTTAATATTCGCTGAGAGATTTTTTTTTATCATAACAAAGGTTTTCGATCCATTCAATAGATCATCTTCAGGCTAAATGGAATACGTACTTCATAAATGGAACAACAATTTCAAAAATTCAAAAATACTAATAATTAATAAGAACTAATACATTGTAAATGATATAAAACTGTAAAAATAAATAACATATTACTCGTACTAAATATTAATACTTTCTACCCTATCTAGACAGAGTTTCCTTTAAAACATACTAGAGTTCATGCGCCTCTTGTAAGTTTTTAACGGCATACTTTCACGCCGAAGCAAGACCCTCCACGTCCCTTGCGTTAATGCATTTTTCATTAAGCTTTCTTCTGTAAATTTATCTTTTCAGCCGTTCTTGCCAAAGTTGGAGAGTGTATCTGTTTTAGGATTTATGCTTCATCCCATCGAACCAAGGAACTTTCTGCTTGCGTCATCCTGGCCAATACTGTTGTATTACAACCTTTTCTAATATCATACCTGTGTTCTTTGATCCTTACACCCAGGTTTCTAGTAGTGACCCCTAAATAATCTTTTTTTATACCTATTAGCTGGTTCTCGTAGGGAATCTTATACACACCCGCCTTATCTTCTTTTTTAACAATCGCTTTATCGTTTCTAAGTATTTTGTACAAATTCGGGGCTCTTTTTAAGATCACCTTTGTATCTTTTATATTTGCGATTTCTTTCATAATCTCTCCTCATAAATACTCGTTGTATGTAAATTTCGTGTACTTAGATGGACCTTGTTTAGTGACTTTATCATTACTGGCTTCAAATTTTTTAATAATTCCCTCTATAACACTCCTCTTATAACCTAATGCTCCTACTATCTGTATAATTTTTTCTATCTCTGTATCCCGGTATCTCTGTATCTCTGTATCCTTTCTATCTCTGTATCTCTGTATCTGTATAACGTTTTCGCATTATATAAAAGCCCTTCTAATCAATGCTCGAAACACTGCTAACTTACACCGATAAGGGTCATCAGAGCTTGCAGGGATATATAGTGGGCTATGCGTTGGTTTCATCAATACGCAAGTGAATATACGCCCTTTGTATTACGATTGTGGTTTATATGATTTTGTTATGTGAATGATACAAGAAAACTAGGATAAAATAGTTTTCGACTTTAAAATATCAATAGATTTTGTGCGCGAATCGCAATAATTACAATACTAAATTATGTAGGGAAAATTAGAATGATTAAAAAGTCAGGATGTAAAGGAATCCGAAAAGCAATCCAGATTTTGCGAGTAAAATAGAATAATATTTCCTGTAAAAGAGATAACATTGCGTTAGAAACTGCATTACTTAGAAACGAAATAATGTAAAACATACATTAATATTAGTTTTCTGCTTCGAGCGATGGTCGAGTCATCTTCCTTCAAAACAAATCTTCTGATGCCCAGAAAGTAATCTTCCATGTAACGGTCCGAATTGAGTTTTGAGATGTCAAAGTCGAAACACTGAAATATAATTTCTATTATTTTTCGTATTCTATAAGTATTGTATTTTTACATTCGACACAACTAAATTTCACATATATTTCTGTTGTCCCATCTCGATGAATTCCCGACCCGAACCTGTCAGATTCAACCAGCTCTTTTATAAATAAAATGTGTCCAAAATACTTATAATTATCAAATGTATTATTAATTCACAGAAATCGCAATAACAGATTATACATTGCTGGCCATTAAAAATGCTACACCGGGAACAAAAGCAAATAGCAAAGTCGTATTTATTGTACAGGTACAGTACAGTATAATGTGGGTAGAAGACATAATTAATTTGGCAGATAATTTTCAGGTACAGAGCAAGATAAAATCAGTACCTAGAGTAACCGCTTCTGGTATTAATAACAGCTGGGCATGCGTTCAAATGCTAATTATTTGCATTATCCAGCATGTTGTATCTTTTATGCAATTTTCGCATTTGTTGCGTGTCGCCTTCGTGGTGTTGCGATTTTATTGGCAAATACTGAATTTTGTTGCTTTTATTTTTTACATTCGTCTTTTCCTTTTGTTATTAGAATGTCCGATGTAGGCTAAATAAACGAAAGAAAATCATTATTCTGTAAATGCTTAATGGCGTTTTGATGCGATGTGCTTTAAAATTTGAATACTGTATTTTGATACAAACTTTAATTATTTTCAAAAATAAATCTAGAAAATGCACGTAATAATCGATATTATCGACATCAGAAAGTCACTATAATACAATAAATTAAAAATAACAATGACAGTAAAATGTTGTATTAACACAAGTGTTTTATTTTTAAAATATATTAAGGTAATGTTGAGATATGAATACAAATTATAAGAAGTATTTTACGTAAACAGCAATATTTGATAATGGACATTTTTGAATGAGTACGAGCAGTTTTCTCTTGTCGTCTTTATTTTGTGAAATTTACCTTCTTAACATTTAACATTAACTTTTGAATCTTTTGACAAGAAAGGTTTAAAGTAGTTCGTGTTATCATAGAAAATCACTTTATCTGTAAGCGGATCGGTGTGATTTAGTATAAATGGTATTTATCCAAACGTATTTCTGTGTCTGACATGACACCAAATACTTTTTTTTTTCCAATAGACCTGCTTTAGCACCGAGTTCTATATCAATTTTCCACTGTTTAATATTTACAAATCAAGTGAATGAATAAAAACTTACAAAAAAATGGAACGAATAAAGTCGAAGAATGATAGTAAGTGGGTATCTTTTTAGAGGTTTTTATTTATTTTGTTTCGGATAGCTTGAAGAATTCTCGGACATGGAAGTATGAAATATGCTACATCATCAAATGTCCGGTCAGACATGGTGACAAGTGAGTTACCGGAGAACAGAGTACACATATAATGAATACTTGCACTGTGTTACTACTCAATATATGCGTACAAATTGTGTTATATGTTATTCAAACTCTTCCTTCCATGCAAATGTATCTTGGTTAAGAATTTGATATTAATGCAAGATCATACATAATTTGAAAAAATAAAAACAAATTTCAGACCAGACGAGGCGTACTTTTTCACATACTCTTCTCTTCTTGTTTTTCATCTTCGCCTTTTACTTGTGAGGTGTAAAGTTGAAGGAACGACTAGTTTAGAAAGTAGTTTATTTGAATGTATTGTAGACAGAACAACAATAGAATGAATATTTGTGGTTAATCGGCTAATAGAAATGTATACGAATTTACAAATTGTGTTATATGTGACTCATACTCAAATATGGTACTTCGCGTGACACAATATTTCGCTGAGTCCAAAATTCCTCTTTATTCTTGACACTATCATTTGTAGATAGTCAATTGTACTTGTCATAAGATACTGCCTACTTTAAATGAAATTCATCCTACCTGTTTATCTTTCGTCGACATCCTTTCCAGCAATTCCCGCACGTTTCTAGAACTAAACTTCCAATCTCTAGTACAAAAGTATTCCAGCTTGCTTATTTCATTATGAACTTTATCGTAGACTTTCATCATTCTAAATTGTAAACAATGCGAATATCATTTAATATTCCATAGAATACGTAAGCAGAGTTGAAAGAACATACTTTGGTTTTCTGCCAATAACAACTCGTAATACATCGGCTAGCATTGCAGGAAGTTGATGTTGCGTCATAATGCATACACGATTCCAATAATAACTCTTCTTGGGTATATTTGTTGGATATAAAAATGTTTTCTCCGAGGGATGTTTCCAATAATGAATATTTAAACATTTGAAAAACTGTTGCAAAGTGAAAGGATTTATGGATCCTGAAGTGCAATTGTAAACTGTAATTTCGTCTTCTCTGAAAGAGAACAGTAATTTTTTCTGAAATATGTCTAGAGATTATTTTAAAATTTATATAAGAAATAAATTTTATTTGTAATATCTGTCTGGGTTTTTTAGAAAAAAAATATTGTATTTTTTTGTTAAATGTTTTCTTTTCATAGAAATTTCTACATTAATTTGGAAAACTCAATATTGTCCAGTTTCATTTAAAGTCGAAAGGTACCAACATAATTCAGGTGTCAATTTTATTACTTTCCCTGCAATGGTTCAGGCATGGTGGAGTGGAAACTATACAGAGTTAATTGTGAGGGACAAATATAGGAGGCTAACGCGTCAACTAGCGATTATTTTTAAATTAATAGAACAACTCTTCGCTCGTCCCATACTACGAATTGCTGTTATTTTGCCAATTACACCTTAATTAAAAGGCATTCTGCGTTATTTTTTAACACTAATATCAATAAACTTATCAATCAACACTTGTGTTATCTATTTAAATCATAAAACAAAATTAAGAATAACTTTTATTTTTAAATAAGTGTTTTAAATTACTTGTTAGTAAAATAAACGCTTGGACTTTTCAACCATAAAAAATGAGTGTTTTAACTAAATTAGTTTCGTCCATATTGACTTTGTTTTGGTTTACTCCACGATGGTCCAAAATGTATTTTATTAATCCAATTCCTTACTTTTTGTCAACTGGTGAATTTTTCGACAAACCTACCAACCTACTTAACTTACGTACCTACCAATTCTAAAATTTTCTACAAAAGTATCGTGCTATTAATTAAACATTCGTAGGAAATTAATAAATTACATTTTCAAAATTCTAAACCGTCAGGTAATAATGGAATTCAATAGAAAAGAGAATAAAAACTTTTCAATGCAAAATGTTCGATGCTATTCGTTTGTATTAAGAAGAAAATTTTCCAAAAGTTTATCGCATAGAAAAACCATTACATTTTCAACATCACTTGCTGGTGGCAGATCTAAGCAGGTTACACATAGATTGAGCTATATTTTATTCTAATATAGCTCAAGAATGATGTTTTAATGCAAATGTTAAAATGTTTTTTACTTGTATAGCGAATACTTAAAATGAGAAAACTTTGTAACGACCATGCCTTTCTTAATTTATTGAAATTTTCATAAAACCTACCTTCGATGAGGCATTATTGACTTTCTCCAAGCAGCAGCCAACATCAAATTAATCACTGCATCCGATGGAACGAAATCGAAAATTTTCGTTTCGTCACACAACATGCTTCGAAGTATTCCTTTCAATCCCTGAAAGTAGTACCCAATACTGTATTCGAGTATCCGACATTAATCGTGTCACATGGATTATTTTTTTAAGAAATAAAATACGCTTACCGCAATATTTATCTTTATTAGAAACTAAAATATGTTTTAAAGAAGAATAATAATTTAATTCTTCTTGTAAAAAGGTCATCGGAACATAAAGATTCAAAAATACAGAATTAGAGTTAGAAGCTAACTCATAAGCATCCACTTAATAACAAATTAAGTAAATGGTAATTGGTTAACTTCTAACTAAAATTCCTGATTCATAAACGTAAATGTGGTTTTGTTCAGTCAGTGTGATTAGACAGAGTTAAATTGAAAAGAGCGAACATTAGAAGAATTAAAGGAACGCAGAAATACAATAATTTACTAATACATCTATTGTATATTAGTACTGTAAATGGTATTCCTCGGATAAAAATTTTCTACCAAGGATTTATCTGTTTACCCGGAGAAATTTTCGATATCCGAGTTCGAAAATAGCTAATCCTTCCTTTATTCCCAGAAGTATTTATATACACTTACAATTGCGGCTACGTAATCTGCTCCACTATTGCCATCGTTCCATCCCTAAAAAAAGAAATTTGTACTAATTACACACAAACGTATAATGTCTTTTGACGTAGAATAGAATTACTCACGGAAAAAGGTTCCTTCCAAGTGCAACCAACAATAGAAGGTCTTACAATTACTACAGGCAAATCTCTACAAAAATTATTTAAATAGTTTTCTGATATGGCCTTTGTTAAAGTATAGGTGTTGGGTCGATTTTCCAAAAGATTTTCTTCTGTTATCTCTAACGAAGCATTATTTTCTAGTCTGCCATTAGAAAAATATTAATGCAATGCACGTACAGGAAATACAATCTAAAAGAATTGCACTTAATATGTCATAGTATAATACTTTGCAATGTTCTTAAATTCCTCGTAACTTCTGGCCATGGTATAGATTTTTTCATCCACTTCCTTTCTGTTGCAGAAAGAATAAGCGGTAGATGCGTGTACGAATGCCTGAAATTACATTTGATTTATTCAATAATCCCCAAGAAAAATTTTTCTTGGAAATTATTACGAAGACATGTAAAAACATTTGGTGTTATTTCGGCGAAAAACGCAAAACATACGAAGTATTTGGGCTGATTTAATTTAAAGCTGAAAATAAAACTATAAATACGAAAAATTCCTGCGCTAGATTCAATACCGTATACATGAAGAACTTAGCTGCAATCAAGTTAGTACCAATATTTACCACTAAACTTTTCATTCGACGACAAACTTCTACCACATTTTTGGTCGTTTCCACGTTATTGACAAATGAATCTCTACAAAATAAAACAAAATAAATGGGCAAGTCACAAAATAATGTGCTTAATTAGCGTAAAACTTACCGAAAAGGTTCATCGAACTGTATTGAAGCGGCTAAGTGAAACACTACCGAAACATNTTTTATTTGTAATATCTGTCTGGGTTTTTTAGAAAAAAAATATTGTATTTTTTTGTTAAATGTTTTCTTTTCATAGAAATTTCTACATTAATTTGGAAAACTCAATATTGTCCAGTTTCATTTAAAGTCGAAAGGTACCAACATAATTCAGGTGTCAATTTTATTACTTTCCCTGCAATGGTTCAGGCATGGTGGAGTGGAAACTATACAGAGTTAATTGTGAGGGACAAATATAGGAGGCTAACGCGTCAACTAGCGATTATTTTTAAATTAATAGAACAACTCTTCGCTCGTCCCATACTACGAATTGCTGTTATTTTGCCAATTACACCTTAATTAAAAGGCATTCTGCGTTATTTTTTAACACTAATATCAATAAACTTATCAATCAACNTCGGAGGCTAACGCGTCAACTAGCGATTATTTTTAAATTAATAGAACAACTCTTCGCTCGTCCCATACTACGAATTGCTGTTATTTTGCCAATTACACCTTAATTAAAAGGCATTCTGCGTTATTTTTTAACACTAATATCAATAAACTTATCAATCAACACTTGTGTTATCTACTTAAATCATAAAACAAAATTAAGAATAACTTTTATTTTTAAATAAGTGTTTTAAATTACTTGTTAGTAAAATAAACGCTTGGACTTTTCAACCATAAAAAATGAGTGTTTTAACTAAATTAGTTTCGTCCATATTGACTTTGTTTTGGTTTACTCCACGATGGTCCAAAATGTATTTTATTAATCCAATTCCTTACTTTTTGTCAACTGGTGAATTTTTCGACAAACCTACCAACCTACTTAACTTACGTACCTACCAATTCTAAAATTTTCTACAAAAGTATCGTGCTATTAATTAAACATTCGTAGGAAATTAATAAATTACATTTTCAAAATTCTAAACCGTCAGGTAATAATGGAATTCAATAGAAAAGAGAATAAAAACTTTTCAATGCAAAATGTTCGATGCTATTCGTTTGTATTAAGAAGAAAATTTTCCAAAAGTTTATCGCATAGAAAAACCATTACATTTTCAACATCACTTGCTGGTGGCAGATCTAAGCAGGTTACACATAGATTAAGCTATATTTTAATCTAATATAGCTCAAGAATGATGTTTTAATGCAAATGTTAAAATGTTTTTTACTTGTATAGCGAATACTTAAAATGAGAAAACTTTGTAACGACCATGCCTTTCTTAATTTATTGAAATTTTCATAAAACCTACCTTCGATGAGGCATTATTGACTTTCTCCAAGCAGCAGCCAACATCAAATTAATCACTGCATCCGATGGAACGAAATCGAAAATTTTCGTTTCGTCACACAACATGCTTCGAAGTATTCCTTTCAATCCCTGAAAGTAGTACCCAATACTGTATTCGAGTATCCGACATTAATCGTGTCACATGGATTATTTTTTTAAGAAATAAAATACGCTTACCGCAATATTTATCTTTATTAGAAACTAAAATATGTTTTAAAGAAGAATAATAATTTAATTCTTCTTGTAAAAAGGTCATCGGAACATAAAGATTCAAAAATACAGAATTAGAGTTAGAAGCTAACTCATAAGCATCCACTTAATAACAAATTAAGTAAATGGTAATTGGTTAACTTCTAACTAAAATTCCTGATTCATAAACGTAAATGTGGTTTTGTTCAGTCAGTGTGATTAGACAGAGTTAAATTGAAAAGAGCGAACATTAGAAGAATTAAAGGAACGCAGAAATACAATAATTTACTAATACATCTATTGTATATTAGTACTGTAAATGGTATTCCTCGGATAAAAATTTTCTACCAAGGATTTATCTGTTTACCCGGAGAAATTTTCGATATCCGAGTTCGAAAATAGCTAATCCTTCCTTTATTCCCAGAAGTATTTATATACACTTACAATTGCGGCTACGTAATCTGCTCCACTATTGCCATCGTTCCATCCCTAAAAAAAGAAATTTGTACTAATTACACACAAACGTATAATGTCTTTTGACGTAGAATAGAATTACTCACGGAAAAAGGTTCCTTCCAAGTGCAACCAACAATAGAAGGTCTTACAATTACTACAGGCAAATCTCTACAAAAATTATTTAAATAGTTTTCTGATATGGCCTTTGTTAAAGTATAGGTGTTGGGTCGATTTTCCAAAAGATTTTCTTCTGTTATCTCTAACGAAGCATTATTTTCTAGTCTGCCATTAGAAAAATATTAATGCAATGCACGTACAGGAAATACAATCTAAAAGAATTGCACTTAATATGTCATAGTATAATACTTTGCAATGTTCTTAAATTCCTCGTAACTTCTGGCCATGGTATAGATTTTTTCATCCACTTCCTTTCTGTTGCAGAAAGAATAAGCGGTAGATGCGTGTACGAATGCCTGAAATTACATTTGATTTATTCAATAATCCCCAAGAAAAATTTTTCTTGGAAATTATTACGAAGACATGTAAAAACATTTGGTGTTATTTCGGCGAAAAACGCAAAACATACGAAGTATTTGGGCTGATTTAATTTAAAGCTGAAAATAAAACTATAAATACGAAAAATTCCTGCGCTAGATTCAATACCGTATACATGAAGAACTTAGCTGCAATCAAGTTAGTACCAATATTTACCACTAAACTTTTCATTCGACGACAAACTTCTACCACATTTTTGGTCGTTTCCACGTTATTGACAAATGAATCTCTACAAAATAAAACAAAATAAATGGGCAAGTCACAAAATAATGTGCTTAATTAGCGTAAAACTTACCGAAAAGGTTCATCGAACTGTATTGAAGCGGCTAAGTGAAACACTACCGAAACATTCTTCGTTATCAAATTCATATAGGAAGAGGAAATTCCTAAGTTCTCTCGAGTGAGGGACCCTTCGATGCATTCAACTTTATTCGAAATTTCCGGATTTTTCAATAAAACATTTTCGAAAATCTTTTATAAATATAATGAAGGTATCAGAAATTTGGTTATATAAGGTAACGTAAGCGAGTAGATCAAGCAAATTTGAGTTGTCATAAATTGTGTTCGATTCTTTGTACTCAATTCTGACAACACGAAGATATTTATTAATTAAATAAACCAACCACGAGTTGCTCGACTTTTCCGGCAATATTTAAAATTTTGGTGCCGCCATCTGTTATCGCCTATTTTATATCGTAACTGTTATAGAATGGAAAAAAAGCTTAATTTTGAGAGTAGAGATGGGTTTTATAAGAAAAAAATTGTAAACGCTAATATATTGTTAAAATAAAATCAGAAAATTAAGAAAATTCACATTGTTTTATATGTAATTATGTCACTGATGGTTAGATATAACGAAATAAACTCACCAGGTTCTTTTTCCAACTTACTTCTTTTCTGCCTCTGTAATACCGTTCTATAATACCGTTCTATAAATTCCGTGTAATATTGTCCTAATAAAGGCTAACTTTAGTATTGTGATGAAACGACCATTATTTTGATGGTTATGATGGCTTAAAGCCACCATACTCAACCTGCGGCCCGCGGGCCACATGCGGCCCTCTGAGCTTTTGTGAGTGGCCGGACGTGGAAGAAAGCGGAAAATAATTACGTTGATTTCTGGAAATAATTACCACTTCTGGAATGTAGGGGCCGATCAATATGACTGAAAAAATGTGCTCAAATTTTATTTACGTTGTTCGCATCAACGTATCTATGTGAAACGTCATACTCAAAAATGAAATATGCAAAAAACATGTATAGAAACTGGCTTACTGATTTACGCCTGGATGCCGTTTTACGAGTAGCATGCAGCAGTTACAAGAATGAATTAAATGAAAAGACGGATTTAAATGAATGGCCGAGCAGTCAAGCCTACCGCTCTGGAGGACCCGGGATCGAATTTGGTCGGGTCAGGGAATCTCCAGGAATTTTTCGGGATGGTCCGTTCAGATATGTCGGGCACCGTCCCTCACCACCCGGTCGCACCATTGTGGGCCTGGCCGAATCCATAATGGGCCTGCTATAGTGCCCATTATGGATTCCGCCCTCTTAGTGCCTACAGGGCGGAAAGAGTATAAGAAAAAAAAATTTAAATGAACTTGTGAAAAAACGTTCGCAATAAATTTTCAGGGTAGGTGAGAAATTAAGTAAATTTTTTATTATAATTGTTATGTTGCGCCCGCGTGTAATAGCTATCATGTGTATGTGGCCCGAGAGAAAAAAAGGCTGAGTATGATGGGCTTAAAGCATTATGTATACATCCAACTGCAACCTCTAGAGACCGAATGTGAAATTGGAAGGAAACGTGAATACTCAACGTGTAATTATACTTAAAATGAAGGAATACGTTACTTGTCATTATGGAGTAGCAAACATGGTGCAATACTAGGCATGGGCATGCCAGGAATTTGCTCATTCGTTGGACCGTACTCGCGCTGCAAACATTCATTTCATTAGAAATACAAATACATTGATTGATTGTTGTGTAATATGCTCCAATATATTCATTTTCTCGTTTGTTCTCTTGAAACAGCAAGTATAAATAAGCCGTAACTTCTGTCTACAGTTTGCACAAAATCTTTGTACGAAAGAAGTATCAAGTGTCCTTACGATTATTTCAGTGAAAATCACATTTCTTCGGGGTCACATTTAATAAATGTTAACTGTACGTTTGAATTTTCGATAAAACTGTAAATCTTACAGAAGATATGAGTAAAATTTGTAATATTTCAAGATACCAAACAATAGTTTACGTTTCATGAAATAAATGTATTCCAGAACACTTACATTTTAACTTACTTTAGAACGAAACAATTCCGTCTTTCTCTCTTCCGCTGGTATTCCTTTCTTGCTTCTGATTAAAACGTAAATTTTTTTATTATTGCAGGATCTTAGCAGTTTCTCTAAAAGCACCTTTAAATATTAGAAAGATAAAGCGGAAATGAGTTATATTTGAAATATCTTGCATAAAAATATATAGTAGAAATACTTGCCTTTCCCAAAGATCCCGTTACTCCTGTTACAAATATCTCACGACATTCGTAAAATTTTGAAATGGACATATCTTCTTTTGCAATTCTTTTTAATATTCTGTCAAGTGAATTAATGCGAAAAAGATAAAACAAAAAGTTTATCACAAACAGTGACAATTGCATTTTCTCCATTTTAAAAGAATGGTGTTATATACAGGTTTCGTATCGTAAAAACGTTTACCAGTTAGACAGTTAAAAGCCAAAATTCTCTTAACTATACCCCATTGATCATAAAGTGTCGGGGATGGTTTAATTAATAACACGTAAAGATTTAATTAATTCATGAAATTTTTTCGCCTTCTTAAAATTAATTCTACATTTCCACGTGCATATAACAACGTTTTTCTAATCTTCGGAAGAAGCTTTATAGTTGATTTCGTGCAACCGCTTCGACATTCGCGGATGGTCTTTTTTTATGGCATAAATCGACTGAAAACGATGATGGTCAAGCGGATATATTTTATTCTAGAAAACGGGAAAACCACACGGTATCGTATTAGGTGAACACGAAGCATGTGAAACCATATCTATTGAATTTAAGACCATAGATTTACGAATACGAAGAGCATTGTCAGCAGCCGCATTATCCAGGGGATTTCTCCTTTCAAGTCGAATCGTTTTGTACGAATTGCTTCACGCAAACAAAGTAAAATTCTTAAATGGTATCGTTTGTCGACAGTTCGACTAGTTGGAAGGAATTCGCGAGGGACTCCCCGAGACAATCGAAGAAATTTGAATGACTTTGAAGTGGTGTTTTTGGTCTCGCTCCACCTTTCGTGTGTCATTCATTCGATTATTACACGAATTCTAAAATCAACATAATCCTTGATAACTTGCTTAAAACATTATTAGACCATTAGAGAGAAACATCATAAAAACCTATGTTTAAATGCAAAATAAACTGGTCATTTTAGTGTGAAAACGATGGATTCCTGATTTATCCCCTTTCACATACAGATTGGACACGACTTGTTTATTCCAACTGGTGTCAGCACAGACAAGAATAGATTTGGACAGATCTTATTTCGAGTAGCCGAAATTATAAAATTTTAACCGAAATTTTAGGAGGGTATATCTAATTTGAAGGTGAGTCGACAATGGGGGTAAGCCTTAAATTAATCTAAACAACAGTTTATAATAAAACTATCAATTTAGTTAGCAAATAGAAGATATAGCCTAATATTAGTATGCAACTTGATTTACACCAAAGTGTTACAAAATTATTATATCGAATACAAAATATGAATACTGCTAAAATTAACTCACTATTTAATCTAGAAAGAAAGAGAGACTTTACATAACATAGGTATATCATCTTAATCTATAGTACAATGTTTAAGGGATTGGTGAATGTAGGAGAATTTCGCCGGAACTTCGGACATAAAAAGATGAGTCTCTTTGGAGGTGAGCAAGAACTAGAAACGAGCTAACCCCTGTTATGGAGAAATTCCCTCCAATATATGCGTAATTCCCACCACACTTCCGACGCGCGACGAAAGTCGGGGTGAGTTTCGTAGTGGGATGTGTCCAGATCTCATGTTTGTAATTACTTTCAAAGGAAGTGACGTTATCTTCCTCCAACAAAGTAAAATTTAATGATTATTTGTGACAAAATAGTACTTTAAAATGTATTAAAATAAAACAAATTCATCAAGAATTTTATCAATTGCATTACGCAGTTCTGTGTTATAATTGTATTAAACGAATGTAAGCCTATGTAAGCTTACTTATTCAACGAAATAAAAATTTTAGCTTTTCTATCCAGATATATCTTTCTTTTTGCTTAGGAAATCCATAAATTCGCTTTTATAATTTTATATAGCATACAATGATTTAAACAATTCTTAATTAGGAGATTATAGATTAAAAAAGTTCATGCTAACATTGCATCCAGCGATCCAATTAACAACAGAGTTTCACAGTTTACCATATACACTCTCTGATATGAACCATCCTGAAAGTTTTTTAATGGGAATGGAACCAACAAATGCTACTCTTACATAGTACTTTTGCTTAGAGACAACGTTCTTACAGAGGTTAAATGTTATATTCACAACCGGATTTAGGCATTTCGAAGCTCTAAGACAGTGTTTTTCAACCGGGGTGCCGCGGCACCTTAGGGTGCCACGGCGCCACGATTGGGGTGTTGCAAAGTTTAGAGCCTTTAGGCATTTTCTTGGAAATTTACTTAAGTTTAGTTCAAGATAACTCATTGTCAGTTCTATTTTGCTACGAGATATCTAGTAAGCAAAGAAACTATGACTAATCGCATGTTAATGTAATGTTCTACGCTA